ATGAACGGTTGTAATACCTCAGGTGAATCATGGGGTGACGGGCACAGGGATCCCGTCCTGGAAGCGGAACCGAACCCGTAACACTCAAACTGTTCGTAGTATTTTCCGTAGCCTCGCGGTTTGTGTCATTCGGAAAGGGACACGGCGGGAACACCAGTCTCCATAGGCGATGTTTCGGCATGCATAGCACATATCCAAGCCACTGAATTTGACGTCGGGGGATGTAATTCGCACCCAAAGTACCTGTGAAAGGAAGAAAGCCTTCGCTGCGGAGTTATTTATTAGGAAATGCTAACTGACCGGTTACAGACCAGGGATGCAAAACTCATTTGCATCTTATTTACAAAAACTGGACATCCATCTTCTCCTGAACGCGTCTTCTCGAACTTTCCTGGAGATTCATTGACTCCAATTATTCCTCTCTCAAATCCAAGCATATGTTACAAAGCGACTCCACAAATTCCTCAACAGATCTCCCCTTTTCAAAAGACGCAAAGCGAAGTTCCACGGACAACAGATACTACTCGCGTGCCTCCCCATCAGTAGTATCACCGTTACACCTGTAGCACAACCTGACACCTCGTTACAAATTCGTTTGCGCCATTCGATGCCAGCGACAATTCCGAGGCGTTAATGGTAGAAAACCTGAAGACGCCTCACATCATCTGTCTGTCTCCCAGCTATACAACAACGCGTGGCTCTCTAGACCCAGTGATAACTCGCTTAGATGCGAAGATGGCGTGATGGACCAAGTGGTTAGAGCGCGAATTTACTGACCGGAAGGTCTGTGCTTTGAACCCTACCTCTGCCTCTCGACTTCCCCTGTCTAGGCGTGCACAACCTGTCAGTATTCCAGCCCTCGTACTTCCTTCGGATGGCATGGCAACTAGGCACCGAAAGAGTGCTACAGCTGAACGATTTTTTTGATGCCAAGTGTCTTTTTTCCCTTGAAGCTTGAGTTTGTACTTTGAAGGTGCCAGGCATATGTATCGAAAGGTGGCGTGATGTTGGTCAGTTTACTGAACAGAGCTTGTGCTTTGTCTTGAATGATTGCGCGATGTCCCTTGCGTCAGCAATACTTTGATCACCCAGTTCTGGAAGACCCCCCAGCATTCGCCTCAGTATCTCATCAATGTTATATCTGCTGATTCGCCAATCTGTTCTGTTTGCTGCTGACCCCGCTCCCGTGCCTAGTGCCGGAGAAAAAAGACTCACAGAAGGGAACACAACAGCTATATTCCGAACAAGCGAGTGCGAAAATACAACGGAGGGGCACTGTCCGAACTTCGTCCAATGCTGACCACACTATCTGGCTTTGATACAAGGCATTTCGAGGGGGGGGGCATTGTCTGTCTGGTCAGCATTTAGTGAATTGAAGGGATTCAGTAGATTTTGGGCATTCAGTGGTTACTTTCAGTAATCCGACCCTCCTGATAATCAGTGAGGAAGCTGAACAAGACTGGAGAGAGTAGACCCTGCTGGAAAACATTTGGAAAACAAAACACGCGCCCAGAACGACCTTATCGTGTTCATAGACGTTTTGAGGCATCCCCTGTCGAGCAAGAGCACTGATCGGTCTACGCAATCAAACGCACCCTTGAGGTTAAGGAGTACTAAAGTTGTTGGTCATGTGTACAACCACACATAGTGTGTTTGGCTACTCAAGGATTCTCAGTCGGCACCCTTTTCTACTACCGACCTCAGCAGAACCGGGCTTAACGGCCAGCAGAGTTGAGTTCCTGAGGATAAAGAGTGAGTAACAGTATGATCTTTTCTTGGATCCTTATTGGCGACTTATGAACACTATTCCTTCGTCGCGCCTGTTTTCGGTCGGCTCGACAAAACGGTTAGCTGGGTTCGAGTTCAGATGCTTATCGATATGAAGATGTCACCTCTAAAGATGTATAGGTCCTCAGTCTCAATGTGACGAGATGACCCAAGTGGTTAGAGTGCACATTTACTGACCGGCAAGTCCGTGGTTCGAACCCGACCTCAGCCTCTCGGTTTCTCTGCCCAAGCCTGGGTAACCTGGCAATGTACCAGCCATCGTGCTTCCTTCGGCTGGCATGGCAGCTAGCCACCTGAAGTGTGCCGAAAGAATACTGTCGAAAAGTGATGTATAGATTGATGGAAAAGATGCCAGTGACTGAGCACAGGCACAGAGCGGGAGAGAGAGAAGCAGCAATACAGTGATCTGCACCAGCAAACAGTCGCCCTAAGCAGATCTACCGAATGACTGTGACAGTCGAACTCTTGTCCTCGCCACGGACTTTGCAGTTGTCATTCTCGCATTCGGTTACCGATCGGAAGTGTAACATTTTCGCGGTGGTCGTTCTCATGCCTGGCTACTCGAATTGCGTATCGCCTTGCGAACCGTTCGTTTTTATCAATAACCGAATGTTGTGTTTATGGCTAGCTTTGTTTGGCAGTTGAACGAATTGTCGAGACTTGACGGCCCTCACATATGAACCGCGTACACACCTCACAATAGCGGACGCCTCTTTGTGTCCTTAATCGGATGGATACCGTATTGGCTTGTCTGGCGTGTTTATGTGTACACAGACAAGCATGTGGCTGGTTCACTTCCTCTGTGTGTGTGTGTGTGTGTGTATAAGTGTATCCATGCTAGACGTACAAAAAGCGCGTTCCTTGGGAAGCACTCAGTGATTGACGTGTTGACATTTCGAGAAAAACTCTCCTTTTATGGAGCCTCACCTACACCGTGCGTTCTAACCTGCACGTCAAATAGGTTCTCATATTAATTCCTGTTATTGATTGATTAAACTTCGGTTACCCGTTTTTTCCCTCTGCACTACACAATTGCATCCATGACTGCTCCTGTCTAGGCAACTTGGCGGTGCCTGAGACCCCGTGCTTCGTTCGGGTGTTATGACAACTAGGCAGCGAAAGGGTGTCACAGCTGAATCTCTGGTTAACTATTCTCGCGAGCTGTTGAACAGTTTTAAGTATCTTGTGAGTAGTGGGTTACGCCTAGATAGATAATGAATCGAATTTTTTGTTAGATGGTTGTCCGGCAACCGGATTTCGGAATCCGGCCACAATGGGTCTGTGACCATCAGCTGTACAACCAGTCAGTGACCGCTTGGTTGATGTTTTCAGGCTTTTGACTTGGCCACTACATCCCTGCCGACCGCTTGTGCGGTTCTTTCGGAGGCTACGCCTTTTTATTCCAGTCGCGGGTTAACTTAGATTAGTTCTCATAAAGGAAACTACTCACAAGGTTGCTGAAAACTCTTCGACGGCCCACGACCGGTTTCGCCGTTCCACTTCGGGCTCATCAGGTCGGCGCAGCCCCCGAGTTTCCGTCAACTTTATGTTCTACTTGAACCCAAATTGCACTGTTTTCGAGAAATACACTCATTTGCAAATCAAGTTGGTTTTCGAGAGAGACCCAAATGAACCTCTCGTTTATGGTATTCTACAACTGAATGTGCTGCAAACAGGCCGCCTCATGATTCAGTTGGCACGATATTCGAGATACCGCAGTATATTTTCATAAAGGAAACTACTCATAAGGCTGCTGAAAACTCTTCGTTTATTTTTTTTCAAACTCTTCAGCTTGTCGCTGCATGCCGCATTTTAGGTGTCCCGGGACGCCATACATGTGTTACGGTGCTCAAAAGTGCACAGTGGCTTTACTCGTAAGACACGAGCTATCGTGGATCCCTTCAAAAGGAGACCACTCACTTAGTTCATCGAAATGCTAAAAACGCTAAAAATCGTGGCGAATATCGCTGATTGATTTCATTGGTTACCTACTAGCCTATTTATAGGTGTGGTCACTCATAAAACCCCGAGACTCCAGAACCTTGGGGGGGGGGTATGCTTCGAAGCTGAAAACTCTTCTTCGCGGACTACCGCCTTGGAAACACAATAAGCAGAGGTTCGTTCATTTATGTACTCACGCTTGGCGTTCTTGGCGTTCTGGCAGTCTTTGATACCGAGTGAGCAGCTGCAGTTTTACTTCTGATGGAGTATGATGGGCCTCATCGTCAAGGTCTTTCGATCCCATCGAATCGCAAGCAAGTCTTCCCTGTGAACTAAAACTGATCAGGACTGGGGGCTTGACTGTGCGCTAACTTTCAGACGCGTCTAGCTTGCTACTAGTACAGGTCCTTGAACGGGCTTAGGTCATCTCGCTAGCCACCACTAGCCGAAGATACATTTCATGCTAACACAAAGCTGGCTATTTGAATCACGACACTTCGAATCGGCGCCTTACTGGTGAAAGGTAGAAGGCCTTCGCTGCGGAGTTATTTATTAGGACATGCTAACTGACCGGTTCAGACCATTGAACAGGAAGCAAAACTCTAATTTGTATCCTATTTACAAAAACTGGATACCTATCTTCTCCTGAACGCTTCTCGAACTTTCCTGAGAATTCATTGGCTCCACTCATTTATCGGTCAAATCCAAGCAAATGTTACAAAGTGACTCTAGGAATTCCGCAACAGATCTCCCCTTTTCAAAAGACGCAAAGCGAAATTCCACGAACAACACACTACTCGCGTGCCTCCCCATCAGTAGTATCACCGTTACACTGGTAGTCGATCACAAACGGTTTACAAACCTACCTGTGTCGATTCTCACTATTTTCGTCGTATTCAACCGTTCATTTCCCATATCCGCCCGTACACTCCCCCCCAAGAGGCTGGTATTGTTTCTCCCCCCTGGCAGACGTTTCGTCAAACAAACTTATATCCAAACTAGCTAGGGATCCTCATGAAATATCTGATGAATTTGAGTGGACCCCGGATAAACAACGTACTGGGACGAGATGGCTCAGTAGTTTGATCGCATCTCGACTTCTCCTGTCTAGACTTGGACGAACTGGCAGTATCCCAGCCCTCGTGCTTCCTTCCGGTGGCGTGGCAGCTAGGCACTGAAAGGACCTTACAACTGAACGTTTTTTCACTGGTTCTCAGCTGTTCGAATTTCTATGCAGATTTTTCCTAATCGCTCTATTCTTCATCTATCAGGACTTCATTGTCCAATCCAACGCGTTTCGTACCTCCCCCAACTATATACTGGAAGCCGCTCACTTAGACCATGCTATGCCCACGCTGCAACATGCCGAGACGATTGCGGTGACCACGCCTGATGAGGATGAAGATTCGGACGGTGCGATGGAACGCCCCAGCTGTCCTGTCCCGAATCTCCCGGTTCCCGCAAACCTGAAGATAGTTGCTGGTGAGTCGCGCGGGTTTTGGTAGTACACTTACACAACTAAGTCGATAGTATGCAACATGTATACCTTGATGCGCTCATTGATTCCTATTCTCCCTGCCCCAGCGTACCACCGAGTCAAAGGTCTCTGGAGCAGTGGAAAGAAGCTACTAAAAATAGAAGTAGTCACTGAATCAATCCAATCTTTGGATGTGGTTTACCGGCTAGCAGGCATTGATGAATTCGGAGTTCCTAGCGGTCATTTCCTTTTCAGGTATCGGGTACTGCAAGCTACACTACATAAACTAGAGAGAACACCTGTCCTACTCTTCCTCGAATGAGGGACGAAATGGCTGCGAGCTGAACGCCAAGGTTCATGAGCACGAACTTCAGTGGTCTTGATTGACAACGGCTGAACCAATTTGATTGGCCAGAGAGTAGCTTTCTCTGGACGACAGGGTGTCACCGTTCACACCGGCCGAACGTTAACTAGTGTTATTGCATTCAGTTTAAACCAACTTGATGCAAAGTTTCGAATTCACAGGTATTTCCTCAGGTGATTCTGTGAGTAGTTCTCTTCGAACGGTTACTCAGGCAGTGGACAATAACGAATAAGTCATTCAGCAAGTGCTAAAATTTCCCCATCATTTCCCACATACGCCGTATCATCTTAACTACTCAAAATTGCCCACTAAAGAGATTCTAAGATCATTTTTGAATGTTCCCATCGACTATGAGGTGAATGGCCAGTAATCATCATCATTGTCAGCTGTAATAACTGCGTACTCCTCGCGCAGTTTCGTTCACCGATGATTTGGGGGGGGGTAGCTGAGCATTGCAGGTGGGAGATGATAAATTGGTGCATAAATTGACGTTTGCTTGTGCGGTGGGAAGGGGTTGGGGAGGGACATCGGTGGACGCAAATGATACTTCCCGGTTGCCTAGGCCGAAGAAGGGGATTTGGTTGAGGGAGATTCGAGTAGCGGCATTGACGTAATGTTTTTCTGATCATTCATTCCAACCTTGTCCTGGTTGGTGCGAAGCAGCCGGCTCTCGTTTTACCCAGCAATTATACCGGGATTCGAACTTTGGTCTACCTAAACCATAAGCATTGTATATTGAGCGCGATGTGTATGGTTTTGCCCAATGTCAGTATAAGCTGACGAAGGCATTTCTACTTGTCCCACAGAGGAAACTGACAGCAGAACTGGTCGGTGAGCGAATTCTGAGGATCAAACGGTTTGAAATATGCCATGAGTGAAGCAATAACTACCACGGTGACCTAGTTTAGGAGGTAGTATCAATTTTAGTCAATCTTGTGTTTATTTCCTGACCTGGCGGTTGCAAAAATTGATCAGTCACATCAAACTTGACGTAAAGTCATGTCACGTTGTCTTTTATGCTCGACACCTCTTTGATAGCCTAGGCCATCACTCACGGTCGTCAAAACTTGAGAGAACAGCAAGTCAGATGTTTTGCTGCTTCGTTATACGAGACCCAGATCAAGAACCGCAGACTCGAGGTTGCTTTTGGTTAGCTAATCACAGTCACGTGATCGGGACTCTACATAGGGAGAAAACGTCTGCCGTCGGTTCGGAGGAAAGTGACCCATTCAAGAGTGTCGACAAATGAACTCGGGAATCAAACGAATGCTAGCATGAAGGCTGCACTGCTGAGGTGACGCGGTCCCGCACTGTAGCTGATCAGATGTAATATAGGGAGCAGTCAAATGAGTGCACATACCTCACAAACTGCCGTTCCAGTGAGCACCGGGATACGGAAATAGATTCAAATTCTGAATTGAATACAGCATTTATCAGACGGCTCGTGCGCCCGTTTTTCTACTGCGTTGACCGTAGCAACTCCGAACCAAACCGGTATTCGCTCGATTCCTTCGATCACCTGTGAGAGGTTTACCGATTTACCTGCCATCCATTTGCTACTTTTGTGGCGGCACCATTTTGTATTGCTCTGCGGAGCTCCACGCAACTAACCTCATCCTGTTACTGAACTGGTGGTGGTCTGTCTTGGAAGCTTCAAACACACTGTGATGGTTTGTGGAAGCTCATTCTTGGCGTTAAAACGTCCGTTGTGTAACTTTCTGCAACAGCTACGCTTCGGTAGAAACAGTACGATTCCCGGTTGTCGGTCAGATGGCCGTTCGCTTCGGCCTCCCGTTTTGTTAACTAACGATATGCCCTCTAACGTTTGCAAGCTAGTTGGTCGGCGGTCACCTGATCGACAACCAGTGAACGCACCCAAATCACGAATATTCAGATATACTGCCAGCTCAGGCTCCGTGTAGCAGATCTGCAAACAACGTGTTGTTCATTCCTGTGAAATCACAGCGCTGATCAACCGGTCGTTTCCGAACGGCTGAGTGTTCAAAGTACCAGCTGGTGTTCGCAGGTTCGAGACTTCCTACTAGAATTTTTTTGAGTGCACACTGCTAAAACAGTGCTTCTCGACTTTTCAGCGTGGATATGCCCCACTGAAACAGTTTATTACGCATACCAAGTAAAGTGTCGCTTGGATGTTCTTCGTGAATCAACAACTTTCCCAAATTTTGCTGTTACGTCACCAGAAGCGGACTTGGTTTTGCTGGTAACTTGGGCCGTTTTGATTGCCCCCCTTGCCCTGTCTACCAATCAGACTAACCTCTCAAGTTTTGTCATCCACATCTCGTCGCACCTGTTCCTCTGGTTCTTGTACAATTGATGGCTTCAGTTCTCGTAGTGTCGTTATTCTTTTGTTCGCCAACTTTTGCTCCTGGTTTGCAAATTAGATGAGTAAGCAAGATAGTTTCATATCTTCAATAGTCAGTTTTGCTTAAAGCAGAACACTTGAGCACTAATGTCTAAGTAAGCTTCCACCCAGTACCCAAGCTGAGTCCATTTCTTTGTCATATTTAGAGAATCAAACAGATATCATACTGCACTAAGTCAGCCAGCTTACCTCTCCAATGATTTCCTCATTTTGACTTTCTTTGCAGTTGATTCTGAGGGTGTGCACATTTTGGAAGATGGCAACTTTGTCTACGCTGTTCCTGGTCTCCCCGGATACATCGAATCCTCTCCCGAAGAGTCCAATGTGGTTCAGTTGAGGTCGTGCAAAGTGCCTAACAATCGTTCAAACGATGCCGCCGGGGAGCATCTCCAGAACCACTCACCTGAGGGTAATGGCAGCTTGCTACCAGATTCAAGCCACGACAGTTTCAGCAAACGTGTGCGATTCAGCGGCGATCCGATCCTTGTAAGTTTGTACATTGTTTCGCTCACGTGTAACGTGTCCCATTCCTACTCCGTGAATTATGCTAGTCCCATGTTATTCAGTCTCTTCGGTGCACTTTGATCCCCCGTCAGAATGTGCTTCCATTTAATCCGGATTAAACTACTGATATAGTAGTATAGTCCTCCGTGGTTCGATCCGAACTAAGAATTCAGTCGTTATTTGCCCGTCGGGGGCGAGATGTCTTAGGGGTAGGAGGGCGAATTTACTGACCGGGAGGTCCGTGGTTCGAACCCGACATGTGCATCTCGACTTCTGCTGTATAGATTTGGGCAGCTTGGCAGTATCTCAGTGCTTTCTCCGGTTCGCATGGCAGGTAGGCACCGATTTAATCGCCGAATAAGGTCAGGGCGCTCGAGCGTCTTTCCGAGTCTTCCGAGCTGTGTAATCACTGACTGCGCATTCTCTCCAGTTCGGTACGTTGGTATCCCCCGAATCCACTCATCATCGCTTATCTGACCAGTTCACAAGCTGCATCACTCGCATGATGATTGCTCCTCAACTGTGCCCCATTGATCCCAGTATTCCCAAGAGTTCGGAATAAGCGAGAGTTCAGCAAAAAGTGAGTGGACCGAAATTCCGGCGTACAGGTCTGCTGGAAAGGTCGAGAGTTTTCGGTTCGTTATACTGTATACTAATGACCCGTAGTATGATTACCGTTACCCAGAATACTTCGAGCACGTTCTAGCTTGCTTTAATCAAGTCATCCCTTAGACACATAGTGGCACTTTGTCTAACCATATCCTGGTCCTCAACTCCCCTCTGTTTTGTTTCGACCTCATTTGAAGCTCCAATCTGGTCGTTACGGACTGCATGTTCTGTCCACTAGACAGCACGGTTAGTCTAGACTGTGTGACCAAAGGGTGAGCAAGACTGCTTCTAGTCTTTTCCAATTTTTGATCAACTCACTCTCTTCCATCTTCCGGACATCTATGCACTGTCTTGACGATTGTGCTGTGTACTACACCTTAGGCCTCATACACACACACTCACACACAGACACGCTTGTCATGTTACTATCGTGTGTGGCTCCACATTTAACCCGGTGGCTGTCAGATCTGATGAATATTATAACCTTTGAGGTCATTGAAATTTTCACCGCATCTATCCACCATTGTACGCCAATATCGATTTGATCCACCAGTATTATATAGTGTGTTGTACAAGGTAGTTGTTGTATGGTATCGATCCACCACTGTATGTGATAGTTTGTGGCCATTGGCTGCTGACGATTTCCAAACTCACACGATACCTACCTACCATATACATGACGGTCACCTACAGTCTTCACATTGACACTGTGGTGTGTACTTGTCCCCCCCCGGGTTTGCAGATCTTTAGCACCTATTCCACTTCGGAGTACGACCGACGGAACGACGAAGTCGACCCTTTGGCTGCTTCGGCCGAATACGAATTGGAGAAGCATTTGGAGGAGATGGACTTGTTCAATGTGGATTTACAGAAAAGTAAGTAGTAGCAAGCGCCAGTCTGTGTGGGCAGGTTATTTGTGGCTGTTGGTCTTGTGGCCCAGATGTTCTCCTCTTCCTGTGTTTTCTCACTCCACTCCCGTGGTATGGAAGTGTTCTTGATCAGGGCACGGTGTTTCACTGAGAAGTGAATTGTCCTAACTGATTTATCCAGGGGACCGTTACGTACTCACTCTCTTCTTCAGGCTGTAAGCTTCTTTTAACACTTGGGCGAATCGTCGCGTTCACTGAGGACCGGTTAGTACGGCATTCGTTTGGCGAAAATCCAAGGACTCGTGAATTCCAGTAATTGATCTAGATGGATGTTTTGGATGGATCATGTGTCCCATAATCCACATAGCTCAGGATAGCTCGGTGGGCAAGGAGCGAACTTACTGACCGGCAGGTCAGTTCAGCATCTGGACTTCTCCTGTCTAGACTTGGGCAACCTAGCAATATCTCGATCGTCAGGTGTCCTCCGAATAGTATGGCAGCTATACACCGAGGAGATGTCGCTGTTGAACGATCTATTTTTCGTAGCTTCCACAGTTTCATTCATCGATGATTCGGGGAGGTGGGGTAGGTAGCTGAGCATTGGAGCTGGAAGTCATCATCATCGACAGCATGACATCAATGTTCAACACCGATGCTTCACTGCCGTACAACCATGATTTATTTCAAAGCCTTATTGTCAAGAGATGAGTAAAGGTGGACGGGGAAGGGACTTAGTGCTAGCTTACCACAATCATTCCGAGGTGCCTACACCTCCAAACACTCACTCAGGCGATCTGGACAGAAACTGACAACAAGAACGCCACTGACATCGGTAGGCAGCCATATCTTGTAATGTCTCCAACCAGGCACAGTGAGGATCACGCGGTCCCCATCCTGGAAGGCGAGTAGCACCGACAGCACCCAAGCGTTTCGTGATCTCCTTCATACTCCTCTGCCAAGTCAAGGACTGGCCACCTCTCTGTTTACGCCACTCTGAATTGGGCGTGGAAAACAGCACTCTCTTCGGCATGCGCTGGAAGCTGATACAGCGACGTTTGCTTGTGTGGTGGGACTGGGTTCGGGAAGGACATCGGGGTGAGTTTGTATTCAGAGATGCCTTTTGTGCCGCGTTACCAAGACAGCATTTCACTGTTAGTTCCACGTTCGAGCTGTGTGACGGATGTTTGAACCAGTTCTTGTTTGCTCATTACTGTCGCTTTTCCACTTAGTGAAGACGTCAGAAACGCCAACAAATTGGTTCTATTCTGAATCATCGCCCACGAAAAATAGTACTCCGAGTGGTCCGTGCAGAGAGGCGAACAGCTTGACTGAGTACTATAAGGGGATGTTTGAATCGCTTCTCTCGATTGAGACTTGCTTTTACTCGGTTACTGGCGTCGTTGGAGGTGACTGAGAATCGCCAACTATTTGACCTCCCACCTGGCATTAGTTGTCAGGTGATCTCGTGCTAACCCGAGATAACTAGGACACATCTCTATTGGCTAAGTGATCCAACTGAAATGGGGTTTCAGTTGAGCATTCGTCCTGTAATCTTTACCAGTCTATGCTTTTTGATGCCTTCTTAATGCCATGAACCCAAGTCTGGATAGCTGCTTGATAGTTTGATGCGCCTGGCCACACCAGATAGCCAATGAACGTGCGAATCAGCTGATCAATTGAACACGGACGAGTACAGGCGTGTCATGTGCAGCCAAAAACGGGCTGTTTTTAAGGCTCACGTGGAACGTTCTAGGCGGGCTAAAAACCGATACTAAAAATAGAACTCATCTGTCAATGGCGAGTGAAGAACAACCAATTAAATCTGCCTCAACGAAAACAGTTATTCCACTAATAGTCATCAGTTACGCTCGGAGCTGGTTCTCCTAATAATGCTAAAGAGCTGGGTAGTACAGCTGTTTCATCCTTGTTGGGGATCGTCAGCAGTGCGTATCTCACAAAACACCAATAGAGAGTTTCAAATCCCGGCCAGTAGTTGAACACTAAGCCTTCCGGTCAAGAGCGGCTTCAATCGCGGAAACCACCTGACATGATCACGTGTTGACTTGCTCCTCGAGTGACAGCTTCTCAGATTGAAGATTCACTCGTCGTGCGAGATGGCGTATTGGTTAACAGTGCGAATTTACTGACCGGAAGATTCGTGGTTCGAGCCCGACCTCTGCATCTTGACTTCTACTGTCTAGGCTTGGCAGTATCCCAGACCCCGTGCTTCGTTTGGGTGACATGGCAGTTAGGTGGCGAATTGGTGCTACAGTCGTACGATTTCAATTATTTCGTCGTCTGAATTCCTCTCCCTTGTGAGCTACTTTTTGTTGTTGATAGTTTTAGGATCGGCAAACGGGTTTCACGCAAATATTCCGATCCGGGGGGCTGGACTCGAGTTTCGCTCTTATTAGAAACCATTCGTGGAGCACATTCCCTAGCAGTACTGCCGAAAAGAAGAAGGCTTTGGCTGCGGAGTTATTTATCAGAAAATGCCGACTGACCAGTTACAGACTATTGGGCAGGGAAGCAAAACTCTCATCTGCATCTAGTTTATAAAAACTGAATATCCATTCTCTCTTTGAACGCGTCTTTTTGAAGTTTTCTGGATATTCATTGACGGTTGATCAAATCCAACAAAATGCTACAAAGCGACAGATCCGCAACAGATCTCTGTTTTCAAGAGACCCAAAGCGAATTTACAAGAAGAAAACATACTACTCGTATGCCTCTCCCATCAGTAGTATCACGGTTACACTGGTACTTAAACCCGGCACTTCTGACACTCGCTGGACCTAATTTTTTTCGCGTATAAGCCTGTCTCCATGCATGGTCCCTTTATCCTGCTTTCCAAAGAGGTATTTTTCAACGGATGCTAACACAATGCTCTGCGCAGACTTTTCCATCGAAAGTTCCATATTTTTGCGATTTATTGCGTTTTTTGTTCATATGCTCAGGTCGATTACACTTGTCTGGTTTATTAAGGCCACTCTCCATAGTCTGGATAAATTGGGGACTTCTAGTATCGATCGCCAGTTTATCTGATTAGCAGTGTCCATCTCGAGGTATTTGGGATAGCTTGCTATTCATGATGTGCTGAATCTGTGTACTTTTCTAAACAGCTGGAAACTTTCTGGATCATTTCCAAAACCAAACTTTTATTCGAATTGGATTAAACGGTTTCCGTGGTTTCAAAGCTGCGTCGCTACTACCCGTCCTGTCGTACGCAGATCTTTTAATCTCCGTAGGTACGCTTTGTTAGGATTTCGAAGCATGCGATCGATGATTTCAGATGTCTTTAGACTTAGACATGTGTGTCTCAGAACTGTGATTGATATGTGATGTTATCGTCAAAATTAGCTGTCTCTTCGATATTCCAGGACAGAGGTCCATAAACTGTGCATAGCAAGTCACGACCTTGAAAAAGCTGAGCACTTATCACAAGGGCGCCTAGGCGCTAACGAGTCGTTTAGGGATGGTGAGACCGACCAACCTTTCACTGAATGGTCTCCCTTAGGCCTGATGGGACGGTTCACAGAACTAACTTATTCTTTCAGTCCCAGTTGCTGAGTAACTGCCTGGGGACACCTCAGCACGCATGTCATGACTTCCTTTCTATCGTTGTTTTGTTCTTTCAATCTTCCCCTCCTCATGGTGGCAATTATGTCAAATCAGTTTTTGTGTTCCATGGCAGGGAAGCATTAGTACGATTGCTTTTGGTCAATTAATCATTAATCGTTATGCCATTTCGGTTCATGACTACCGTGCATCTCGGACTGAGATCCTGCCAGGTTGCTCAAGCCCAAACAGGGGTCGGATTCGAACCGTTGACCGGTCTGTGGTTTCCCACCATCTCGGCTGTTGATGAATTGGACAGATGCTGTTTCCTGAAAAAAAAAATAACCGATGCACCTTACCGATTGATTGATCGTCGGCTGTTGATTGGACAGATGCTGTTTCCTGAAAAAAAAAAACAACCGATGCACCTTACCGATTGATTGATCGAAGCTATTCCTAACGCACGCTTGTAAAGGGCCTGCTGTTATCCTCCCAAATGTTCGATTGTGGAGGCTGATCCTATACCAGCCTACACACTGTTCTGTTGGTATGTTGCACTTTTTTGCCTGGCCCAAGTAACAGTTTCGTGTCAGAGGAACGTCGCCCACATAATCATAGGCGGACATTCGAAGTGAAAGACCGTACGGTGTAGCCCAACTTGTTCGACTGGTGGTTCGGACGGACTTGGTATCGATGTCATTGAACGGCATGAGCGAGGGGCTTTCTTGTAGTCCCAGCTGTCCGAAGTGTACCGACTCTTGTGGATCGATCTTCGTTCTTTCTGCTGTAACATCTCTTCGGTACCTGGCTGCGTGCCAGTCGAAGCAATTCCGAGGGCCAAGATATTCCCAGGTTGCCCAGGCACAGACAGGAGCAGTCGAGATGCCCGGAGTTGGTTTCGCCGAGGTTAACAGCTTCACGTTCCAACTACTGATCCATCTCGAGAGACCGCGTCCCTGGGGAATCGGAAACAGCATTGTTCACCAGACGTGGCCCGAATAACCGTTCTTGAACATTCCGTGGCAGTATTTTAGAAGATCCAGCTGCGCCGCACACACTTTCATTTCATTCAAGCACCAGAAAATTTCCAAACTATTATTTTTGGAAATTCCAAATCTCTAGAAGCTTTACTCACATTGAAGCTAGTCACTTGTTCTGAGGTCACCGGGACTGATGCCGTCGGCTGTTAAAAAGCACCAGTGTTCCGACAAACACTTTTGGTGCTTGTTCGGAGTGACTTCAGTCGCACAAGTCCTTCTAGAGTCTTCGCCGTGTTGACACCTCTTTTTTACTGTGTGTATAGGGGAAGTAACGTGCTCGACATAGCTCAATGTTTAACGCGGGTCCATGGTCCGAACCCCGCTTCTGCCTCTTGACTGCTTCTGTGTAGGCATGGATAACGTGGAATCATCTTCACCTTCGTGCTTCCTTCGGGTGGCATAACAGCTACGCACTGAAGCGGTATTACAGGTAAACTTCACTCTCTGGAATTGTCCCCTCTGGGCGAGGTCACGTAATGTTTTATCAGTGAGATACGAAAAGTGGTTACCAACGAAATCTGTTGGGGCGGTACCTGTAGTCTCTTTTTTGGGTCAGACCACAATGACTGGAGACCCTGATGTATGCGGTCTATTCGCATATGCAGTTCCCCTATTGTGTTCGGGCTGATTTTTATCAAACGCAACGCTAACAGGACTTGTCAGAACTCATACACTGTCCTGATTGGATCTGCACTTTGCTATCTGAAAGTATCACCTCCATGGCACGTTTTTTTGCTTCAATCCATTGCTCGGTAAACAGAACGGTTGTAGGTGGAGTCCTTATACGAATTGCTCGGGGTTTGTAACTTGTGGTCATGGTGACACCTTGGGTTGGTTGGCTATGTTATATCAGTGAAAGGAAAAAGGTCTTCGCTGCGGAGTTATTTATTAGAAAATGCCAACTAAACAGTTACAGACTATTGAACAGAGAAGCGAAACGCTCATATGAATCTTATTTACAAAAGCTGAATATGCATCTTCCCTTTGAACTCGTCTTCCCGAACTTTCCTGGATATTCATTGACCGTTGATCAAATCCAAGCAAATGCTACAAAGCGACTCCACAAATTCCGCAACAGATCTCTGTTTTCGAGAGACGCAGAGCGAATTTACAGGAGGAAAACATACTACTCGCATGCCTTCCTAATCAGTAGTATCATAGTTACATCAGTAGAATCGCTTACACCCTCATACTCCTAAGATCTCAAGACGGCTCGGGGATTAGGGCGCAAACTTACTGACAGGAAGGCCCGTGTGTCGAACCCAACCTCGGCATCCCGACTGCTCCTGTCTAGGTTTGGACAACCAGACAGCGCCTCAGCCTTCGCGCTTCCATCGGATTGCATGACAGGTAGGCACCGGAAGAATGTCACAGCTGAACGACTATTATTTTTTGTACCCAAAGAAACCGTTGTGAAGGTCAGTTGCACTGAAACAGGAACGGTGTTCGCAATAAATGCCTATGTCGGTTGGTTTTCTTTCCATGCTGTGGGCATTCGCCTTGGTGTCAAGCACGTTTTGACGTGGGCGGGAATAGGGAATCAGTCTTAACACGAGCGCATCGCATGGTTCCAACACAATCGCACACTTGTTCTCCATTTCTATGAGTGAGTCTCCGCAGCAAAATCGGGTTTCGCAAACAGTTCTATCCCAGAGGGTGACGAGCATGTTGTTGTGTGATTGGTCTATCTATTGATTACAACTATTGACAACGCCAGTAAGGCCAGGATCACCAAGTTGACCTCGGCACCAGTCCAGAGCATTCGGAAAGACTGCAGTCCTTAACCCCCTCCTATGCGAGTAGTATCACAGTTTTGAACCATATCTCAGTCGGTGCGGAACCAACTGAGTAATGAGGATACTGTATGCACTGCGGCCATGTTTGGAAGTAATTAAGACCGTGTCGCGTAGGGCAGTCGCGGACGATGGTAATATTCGCCTCTAATCGATATTGGTCTTCTAGATCTCCCTTTGAATACTGGTCCGGGTGGCCGTGAGGACCGAGACTGGGTTTAGAAAGGTTTTACACCAAGGTTTGGACGCCGGCTTCTTCACTCATCTCGCTGTGGTCACCTTCGACCCCCTCTCCTTGTATCTACTGATCAATGTGATGCGCTGGTGGTTTATTCCGCTCGAGGAAGCCGCGCACAGCTGTTTAAGTGCTATCCCTCGGGTACGTCCACTTAACCCCCCCCCCACACACACACAATCTGCACTGTGAACTCATTTCATATTGCCTCTCGTTTTACAGGTGCCCAGGGTCTTGGAATCAGTATCCTAGGTTTGGGTGTGGACAACGTCGGTGGAGAACAGAAGTTGGGCATCTTTATCAAAGCACTCACACCTGGAGGTGCAGCTGAAGCCAACGGGAAGTAAGTTGATGCGAAGTCTCCTGGTTGTTGTTTTTCTGTGTGGCCTTTCTTCTCGATATCTTCCGCATCCATTGATTTTTTGTCTCCCTCCATCTGCCCTACAGAATCATGGTCTACGATCAGATTGTCGAAGTTGATGGCATCAGTCTGGTTGGGGTGTCGCAACAATTTGCCGCTCAGACACTTCGGAGCACGAAGGACGTTGTACAGTACGTTTCGAGCATTCGCTTCCACTCAGTATTCGATATGGTTTCACCTGTACAGTTGTACTGTTGGTTTTCTTTAACTTTCTTGCGTATTTAGATGGGTCTGTGTGACACAGACATCGCTGAGGGTGACCGATCGCTTGATTTCTTGTAACCAATCAGATGAATGAAACGTTAGCCCTCAAACATAGATCGTCATCATCATCAGCTGTAAAAACCATGTATTTGCCGTACAGTGATTATAGCTGCCTCAGTTTCGTTTGCCGACGATTTGGGGAGGTGGGGTAGGTAGCTGCGAATTGGAGGTGATAGCTGATGTAATTGATGGGTTAATCCAGGGTCGTCAGTGGAACTTCTCTTTGGGGAGATCGGCAACACCTTGGATGTATGAGAGCCACTGAATTCCCGACTGGGCCATGCCTGACAATGTCCCGTCTCGGAGTCCCCATCCAGGGAGACGGCAATGACCACCGCAGCTGCGTTCGCTTCTAATGGCTTTCATACATAGTTGCTAACTCGTTGTTTGACCTTCTCACTGTGCGTTTCCACTCTTGGCCTGGTTGTGCGAAAAACGCACTTTGAAGAAGCCGGTCGATTGACTTGCGAAGCACGTGACCAAACCAGTGCAATCTACGGAGGATGATCCGCTCATCTATCTTGGGCGAGTTAGATCTTTCAAAAACCATTCGACGTACTCCAGTGTTCCCACCAAACTCGAGCTATGCTATGAGGACATGGTTGGTCAAACATTGAAAGCTTTTTGACGTCCTCGTTCGAGATTTTTATGGTTTGAAAATACTTACTGGGAATCATCGACAATCCGCGCCTATCGAAACGGTTTCGAAGCGAACCTTAGACCTCCCGGTTACTAACTGGAGCACTAAACTTTCCAACCTCGAGCGGCTCATCAACATCGTGACTAGAGCTCACTTACACAGGATGCAACACCACTCATCCTCCAATCACGGAAGGTCTCCCACGTCGTCACACTTCTCAGATGCAAATATCACTGATCTTTTGTGGTTTTTCTCCATCAGATAGGAAATTCGATAATTTCCAATCGATATTTTGTGAGACCAATCTACTCTGAAAAGCCGAGAAGCGCTATCCTTATTGGGGATCGTCAGCAACGCGCACCTCAGCCAGTCTCGACCGCTCTGCTGCTGGTGTAGCGGTGATGCTACTGATGAGGGAGGCATGCGAGTAGTATGGTTTCTTCTTGTAAATTCGCTTAGCGTGGCTTGAAAAGGGAGATCTATTGCGGAATTTGTAAAGTCGCTTTGTAGCATTTGCTTGGATTTGAGCAACAGTCAATGAACATCCAGGAAAGTTTAGAAAGACTCGTTCAAGAGAAGACGTATGTTCAGTTTTTGTAAATAAGATGCAAATGAGAGTTTTGCTTCCCTGTCCACTAGTCTGTAACTGGTCAGTCGGCATTTACCATTAAATAACTCCGTAGCGAAGGCCTTCTTCCTTTCACTGGTTGTTTGTTCACCAAGCCGGTCATCCATGAGAGCGGCTGATGGGTACTATGATTCACTCGCCCTTTGGTTGGATCTGTCGCGGATTCATATTACGTGGTCACGTGTTGATTGACTCCTTGAGCGACAACATCTCAGGTGGAAAACGCATGCGGCTTGTAAGAGTGACTCTTTCCTCAACAGATCATTTTTAGTGGCTTGGTTGTTAGGGGATTTTAAGATTGTAACTGAGGTTTCACCTATTTCACCGCATCCTAGTAACCATGGTATTTAAATAATCTTGTCAAGGTTGCTCTTACTTTGCCTTCCAGCATGGACTGCCTTGTTGAGACCACATTTTTCATTGGTAAACAAAGTCACGAATTTTTCAGGACAGTGATTAATAGCCAAGCGAAAGGTGCCATCGGGATCTCGACATCCGATCAACCAATCGTAAAGCCTTGTCCGAGAGAGTTTCTCTGATATCATTTGGTCTGATTTCAGTTCTTCTGTGGCAATGTACACTACTTTTCATCTAATTATTCAAGCACTTCTCCATCTATACTTATTCCCTTCCTGTGGACAAAAATGGGGTTGCTTCGTGTTTTCTCGCTTCCCACCGCCGTGAATGTTACCCACCACTCTTAGTCTAATGGTTGTCATGAATGCCTCATTTGATTGTTGACGAAGCTGTCGGACTAGCAGGCGTTGCACTGTCCCCTTTGTTTAACACTTGAATCGTTTGCGAGATCCTCTCTGTCGTCCTCGAACCGTCCAATCTCCTTGCTCCCCTCCCTCAGTTTTGTGCTTGCACGAGAAAAAGATCCGGCAAACAGTCGAATTGCCCAACTTTTGGCAGAACAGGAACAGGACGAAGTGGAACGTGCACCGAACCCCGTCGAACGCAGGTACGCCGGGTTCCAAGTTTTCAATCAGTGATTTACAGTTGTGATTAGTATCAATCGATTTCTTGTTTATTTCCAAAAGTGTCGGTCGGGCTTTTCGCCTTAGAGCGGGAACTCTAAGAGATCACACATGTGTATGGTCGACCAAGGGTGTGCGTTCGAACAGCATCCTCGTATACACTCATAGCAGAAGGCTTCGTGCGAAGCGAGTCTTTCGGCTTCTTCTGATGGGTGTTGTCTTTCCGGGTTGGTCTTTTGTTTGAGAGGGGAGATTACTGCAGCTCCTTCTTGTATGCAGGGGACTTCAACTATTCGCCCGGAATCTAAGTGTTACATGACCTCGTCAAGGCAACTGGCCATTTTTTTGTCGTTGCACCTTCCATCGTAGCTTTTCGTACTCGGTCACAAGCATTGATTGGTTACGTAGCTTCTGTAACTGAATATCGCCTTGAGGAAACATGACAGTGTGATTACTTTTTTCAGCCCACTTGACTACTTATTTAGGTAACCGGGCTATTTTTCCTCAGCCAAGGGGCGAGATGTACCAAGTGGTTAGAGCGTGAATTTACTGACCGGAAGGTCTGGGGTTCGAACCCGACCTCTGCCTCTCAACTTCCCCTCTGTGTAGGCTTGGGCGAGGTGGCAGTATCCCAGCTAGGCACTGAAAGGGTGCTACACCTGAACAATCCGACATGCTGCTTTCTCCGGGCCACCGCGGTTTTTGATGCTGATTGGTCTTCTGACTGAAGTATCTACGACTAATAAACTGTTTTCAGTTTCCCTAAGGCCACTCAACGTCGTGGCTCGTGACCTAGACGTGTTAACGAGATGATCCCATCAGGCAATGAACTGACTTACCTCACAACCGGCCATTTGTCTGTACCGTGTCACATTTCAACCAGCTGGCAACCCCCCGGTCATTTGCACTCTCGAATCGATTTATTCCCTTGACACACCGAGTGTTGTTCTGCCATGAAAGGTCTCTCCAGACTCTCTCTCCCAGATCGTACAGGGCAAAGGGGCATGACAAACGAATCGTATTTTGTTTTTTACTCATTTCCTAGGGATACTCGATAAATCTCGGCTTTTCCATTGTTGCTGTCCAGTTTTTGGCAGTGCCTACCTTGAGTTCTACGACACCTAAAAAGTGCCACTGTTGAACGAGGATGCGGCAAACTGTGCTTCGATCTCAAACAGCGTTCGCTGGCAGGTCTACGGTTTTCTATTAGAGCCACGTTTCGGTCAAACATATATTTACAAGCATGGGTTAGCAAAAGTATCCCAGTCATGGGGTCTTCAACCGCCTTGGCACGAATACATCTCCCCAACCTCGAATAATAGATGGGTGATACATTTCAGAATTTCTGTTTTGCCACTTTGCTTATTCTCTAGTCTGATTTCATGTTTTGCGCCGAGCTTCTAATCCTTACTGTCGCCTTTCCGTTTTTTTGTAGCCCCGATCAAAGAGAAGAACCAAAAGTTCAAGAGGAGAGAGTGAGTTGAATGTTGATAGCTGTTGATTCATCTCACTTAATCTTTTGTTGAGGCAAATCACCTGGAGTTCCGCCAATTCACACTCAATACATTTATGCTACTTTTTTTTAAATCGGATTGCGTTTGAAGCATAAACCTCACGAGGTTAAAATTGGTTCCAATCTTAGAACGAATCTTAGATTCGTTCCTTCAGCTGTCGCACCCTTTCGGTGCCTAGCTGCCATGCCACTCGAAGGTTGTACGACAGCTGGGATACTGCCAGGTTGCCCAAGCCTAGACAGAGGTAGTCGAGAGGCATAGGTCAGGTTCGAACCACGGATCTGGTGGTCAGTAAATTCTCGCTCTAACCACTTGGGCCATCTCGCCCGTCGCGCGAATTTACTGACCGAAAGGTTCGTGGTTCGAACCCGACCTCTGCCTCTCGACTTCCCCTGTCTAGGTAACCTGGCAGTATCCCAGCTCTCGTGCCTCTGTGTGGCATGGCAGCTTTACACCGAAAGGGTGCTACAGCTGAACAGTACGACAACTGAAGTAGCTACGACTAGTAAACTGCAGTTTCTCTGAGGTCATTCAACACCGGGGATGGCGATGATATATCCGGAGATACTTTAGACTATCCGCCGGGAGAGTTCGCATGCCACCGCGAGGCTAAAGCACAGCCCGTGGTGTATGCGGGCCTTGAGACGCAGCAATATGCCACGTGGACGCCGTAAATAGTACATATTGGCAAGCTTGATTCGTTTGTTCTCTACTACTCACACGTGATCAATGAATGCCGTTTATCGACCACACTGCCATGACAAGCAAGTGGAAGGTATCGGCGGCGTTTGGGATGAGTTAAACCGTTTGTGTTACTTTGATAACTGTGTAGGCAATCAAGTTGAAGGGGCGCATAACCTGTCGCTCCTCGAGAAATGCCCTCTCACTTTTTAAGATTCCCATTAGCCAGTTAACAGGAAGCTGTTTAAAGACGATTGCATCAGAGGTTGTCCGGTTTCTAGCAGTTAGGCGGTTTCTCTTGTTTAGTTTTGACTCGGTAGGGATCGAGTTTTCGCCCGCAAACCTCGGCGAGTCGACATGTTGGCTGTCACCTCAAACTTCTTCGATCCCGTGTATCTTTGTTGAAGTAGCTATTGCTAGCAGCTTTCTAGTCTACGGTGGTAGGCCAGCCGATGCTGTGGGCTCTTTCACCCGTATCGAACCTACCGCGTAAGACATTTGCACCAAATTTCGTACAATTCGATTCTATGAAAGCAAATGACTGACGGGAACCCTGGGAATACGTCTACCTGATGTGACCCAAGAAGGCCCAAAGTGGTCGCAGGAGGGATTTCAGCAACCTTATGAGTAGTCTTTTTTTAAACATTGACCCTCCCCCAGTTGGAAATTACAACCAGCCCCCCTCCGTTTGCTAGAGTTGACATTCTAACTGTTCTAATTCACGTGATTTTGTGATGATTATCACAACGTTGTGTGTCTGGGCTATTTTTAACTACTCCATCTTCAAAGACGACCGTCGGTAGTTTTGTGTCTGGTTTCACCAAATTGTCCAACTCAGACAGACGCACTGATTGTCTTCATCCGGTCAGTGGTTTGGGTTGGACAAACTTGGCTTACTCATCGACGCAGTGTCAGTCTCTGTTTGGATACTGAGAGGTGTGGGTGCTCTGAGACCAAGATACGGATGTGACACTCGCATGCAGTCGTGTGATTCACCTTTCGCGTCGTGTACGGTCGCACTGCAGCAGACAATTGGTGCNATTGGTGCGAGATCTGTTGCAAGGCGCATATATTTCCGTTTCTCGTCTCCATGTTCTCTGCTAATCCAACTCCCTGCGCACCAGTGACTCGAACATGGCCGAATTTGTTTGAATCTGGTGGGATCGCTGGAACCAACGAATTGGGAACGAGGTGATCAGGGGGAGGGGGGGTAAATCAGACGGTACTTTACTCAAACACTGTAACCTTAGATGCCTGGGCCAAGTGTTACGTGTGCCGATTTAGGTTGTCCGATGCGGAGTAGCGGAAACCAAGAAGTCAACAGAATGTAACATTGTAGAAGGAAATGAAAGATATTGTGAAAAAAAGTTTGAGGGGCGCCTAACCGATGAGGCTTTCATACTGCCAGTTTCTATCGTGGTTTTCCGACTGAGTTGCAGGAATCTGGGGTTATCTGATGTAGGCCAGCCCCAGGTCCTCTTCTCTGTCTCTTTTCTTTTATAAGTGTATTTGTATGTGTGCAGTTCATGATTGTACGTGGGCTAGGTTACTGTCAGGAAGCCCACACCTAGACAGGAGGACGATTAGGGTCCTCAACCAAACCTTTGGTTCAAAAGCCTAGCGTCAAGGCAGCGGTGTTTGGCGGGAAATTCAAGTGCATTACCCTTTCCGCGGGACAAGTCGCCACATGTTCCAACCCCCAACCAGGCGACTGTGTTCGTCAGACCTCTAGACATTGACCAACATGGTATGAGAGACTCTGTGAGTGTCGCGGGGGCACCCCACCCCAGTATAGCTCACTGGGTCGATGAGGTGCGCAAACCGTCACACCACGGTAGGGTCCAGTCTCTTCGTAACGGGCTTTATTGATAATAAATTGACATTGTTGTACGGCAGTGAAGCACCAGTGTTCTCCTCTGGTCTTACTGTCGGTGATGTCTGTGGTCACTTTCGTTTCTGCGTTTGATTTTACGGTTTTGACGATAGGTAGCGCTAAACTTCACTTGCACTATTTGCGTTTATCGCTAGCAGGTACGCCCTAGTCTGTCCCGAAAAAGAACATCGATTCCGGGATGATGAGATACCCCATGAATAGCATCAACGCACCGGGATCTTTGACTTTGCGCAGCCTGTTTAGTTCGGTTATGTGCAAGGTCGAATCTTCTCGAGGATTGTTCCGCGATCCAGCAAGACAGCAGACATAAACACCCGTCTTAATCCCATTGGTAACGCTCATCTCTCCGAATTAATCTCTGACTTAATCGTGCACCTGACCGTTCCCCTACGTGAGAATAGTCAGTTTTATCACGCAGACTTATCCACAGTTTCCTGTCCCGATGATTATACCACACTTAGACGATCGGTAGATTTATTGCTGGGGAACGTTTCGCTTTTGACACAGAAGCTTCGTCAGGCCAAATGACTAGGTTCCGAGGTTGGTCGAGAGCTAAGTCGGAAGGAGAACCGATCAACTAAGTCAAGCTAAATCTTTGTTGGGTGTCGACCGAGGGAACCTAGTCACTTGGCCTGACGAAGCTTTTGTGTCAAAAGCAAAACACTGCCCAGCAATAAATCTACCGACTGTCACCAAAATTTTTCGAAAACGATGACTACCCAATCGGTTCCAAGTATTTTTCAGGTGATTTCATACTTCATTCTGAAACCAATCCTCGATTAAATCGCGTCCCCCCTACACACAACAAACGCGCTTGTCAGCTGTTTGTTTTCACCTGTGCGAGGTACATCACTTGAAGTTCGACACACAGTAAACTGGTCGTCTAGACGGGCCATCTTGAACTGATGTCCGGTTTTATGAATTCCCTGGCTATTTGTATGCTAGATTGACTCTGTACACAGTGGACCTTCGCTTGCGAGGTTTTTTTCATCGTCCAGTCCCCACTAGGTAACGTGGTCGCTCGCTCGTCATACACACACACCTGACCTGAAGGTCCGTGGTTCAAACCCTACCTCTGCCTCTCGACTTCTCCTGTCTGGGCTTGGGCGACCTGGCAGTATCCCAGCCCTCGTGCTTCCTTCGGGTGGCATGGCAGCTAGCCGCCGAAAGGGTGCTACAGCTGAACAATTATTTATGATTAAATTATTAAACCGTGAGCTTTACTCTCCTTGTCAGTGTTTGGTTTCGAGGTTTCCTTACACTCCTTTCTTTACCTAAAACTCTAAGAGGCGTTGTCTTGCATTCCCGAGCTGAAGACAATACTGATTATTGGAGGCGTGAATGGAGTATGAATAGCCGAACGGATGATCATAGTTCGCTGACTGATGTCACCACCGGTTTCGTGCGTGTTCTCAAGGGCCTGACTCAAAGCGTCCTCCCTCCTTGATCTTGAAATGACCTCAGTCTTCTTTTGTGACTGTCGTTTCGATCTCTTCGCCGCACCATGAGACTATATTTGTCTTTTGCACTGATATGTCATGGGCTCTCCAGGTTTATTTCTTGTGTCGTACTACTTCCAAATTCATAGTAGCATATCTGATGGACTAGAACCCCATCAAATTAAATGTACTCAAAAATCACTTCGCTGATTGCTGCTTAGACTGAGAAGGTTCTATATTCCTTCGTAGCTGTCCAGCATTGCCTGACGGTTTTCTATTGATCGTATTTCATTCAAAGTGAGTGCAACGACCTCTCTACAAGGTACCCCCCCGTATGAATGAGATCCCCTCATGAGGGCCGCTTTCCAGTTACCAAAAATTTTTCCTAGTCGTGCATTGGCAAATCAATGGGCGATCTGGCTAACCGATTCGCTAAAGTAGAACCTCAAACAGCTGATACGGAGTGAACCCAACGAATCGTTTTGTCGGGTAAACAATGTGGAAAATTTTGGCTTTTTTTAGCCACCCATGCGTGCATTTCGAGGGCAAACAGCTATCATCATCTTTCGGCATCGTTTTTCAAAAGAGGACTCGTTGCAATGGTGTCGAAAATTTACCCTCACAGCACACCGTCAATAGTAAAGGGGTTGGCTGGAAAGAGCTTGGAAGGTGAATCAAAGACCTAACCTAGTTGTTAAACATTTTGGCCTGAGTGCATGCTAACTTCACAGTGGTGGTTGTCTGGAGCTAGCGGTTTCCCGACAGAAGACTACTTTATTGGGAAAATGGATAAAGACAGTTGAGTAAAGTTCACCTTCGTGTGGTTGAAAATCACTGATCCGACCTGGATCCAATCAACCGTGAACCAATGACCATGACTGTCGCTTTACTAGTAACGGTTTGCTTGTGTTTTTTGCTCTTCTGACTTAATAAAACGCCTGAGATAACACACTACTTGTATTAGCTGATGAAAATAGGACATTCGAAATGATTTTTGCTATACGGTTGTTTGAAGGGATGAATGGCAAGAAAAAAACGGCGCTCTAATTTGCTCAGTTTAGACGAAAGAAGTAACCAAACTAGTGTGAATTTAATATCATTCAGAACAAAAAATCCCCTTTTTCACTTAGAAACCCTCATGTAAAGGCCACCCCCCAGGAGCAACCATACTTGCTTCCCTCAGGGGTGGTCTTCACAAGCGTGGATGCCTGTGGACCCCGTTCATAATTTCGCTAAAACTTCACTCCTGTTTTTCCCTCAAATCAAAAATTCACACAGTTACCCTCCTCTTCTCTGTATAGCGAAAATCAACCGGATTGGTGAGAAAGCCTAACGTGCCGAGACTTGCTTCCTCACAAAGGCCTAAATCATCGAACTAATTCATCCCAAAGCCTTCAAAACTATTTTCAAGCTGCTCTGTCTGTCACGGATCCGGATGCAGCCCGAGAAACTCCCCCCACCCTTTGCCTCCACTCCTTATTCGGACAATTTCTATTCTCTGACCAAATGAGTGCTACAGATTTATTCCGCTAACATCCCCCAACCCCGTCCACGGTGCACTGCACTGCAATCAAGCGGTATACTCGGTTTTGACCGTTTATGATTCTTGTTCGTTTTTTCTCGCGCGCGCGCGCGCGCCTTTTTGCGGCGCTTTTCCACGATTGCTTTATTGGCTGTTGATGAGCCACGCGGTCACACACTGTGGGAACTTGCCAGGGTCAGATTTGGGACCTAGACCATTGGCGATTTGCACCAGAATTTGGCAATTCCTTGAGAATGTCCTTCAGATTTATACGGCTTATTTTCACATTCGGATGAGTCCCTTGTGCGTGCGCGCGCGCAACACACGCACGCTCTTATTTTTTCGTATTGTAATTTTCCCTCGATTTTGATTGGTCAGTTAAGCTCAGTTTTCCACCAATGATCCTAGTTCGGAAACCATGCTAAAAATGACATCTTTAATAAACTAGTTTGCGTCACGTGTGATGCTCCTCGGGACAGTTAAACAACGAATTGGAATGTCTTGGACGACCAGTATGCCAAGAAATCGATTGTCTCTGGGCCTCAAACTAGTCCTCGGAAAAGTTTGGTGACAATCGGTTACCAGACTTTTCCGAAAACGGTCTCAAGCATTTTTTCGTTGTTTCAGAAGGGTGGATGACATGTTGCTTTTGACAGAAAGCCTTCGTGAGTGAGGAGGTTACTGAATTGGTCGAGTTTCATGATAGACGGAGAACCAATCAGCAGAATCTCTTTTGTGTAGCATACCAGATCATTGTTGAATATCGGTTTGGCGTTCCAAGGAACTGATGGGGCGAGATGGCCCAAGTGGTTAGAACGAGAATTTGCTGCCCACCAGATCCGTGGTTCGAACCCGACCTCTGTCTCTCGACTTCCCCTGTCCGGGGTTGGGCAACCTGGCAGTATCCCAGCTGTCGTACAACCTTCGAGTGACATTGCAGTTAGGCTTCGAAAGGGTACTACAACTGAATTATATTTTAAAAAACTCGGTTAAAAGTCGTTTCCGTTTGGGTGGATGCCAAATTCTTGCGGATGCATTAGAGTCATTTTGCCCGGGTTCGGATCCGTGATCTTCCGGTTCAAGGTGTTTGAATTGATGATTCGTAGATTTTGCTGGTCTGGGTTCGTACGTACTGAGACAATTGAGAGTTTGGACGATACAGTTACTCGGCTTCCACGTGAAAGCTCGACAGATCTAGAATTGTTTTCCACACACCTGCTCCCCCCAACGCCTTCCGTTCTATTCACACCGGGGCACTTGGCAATTTCCACCTCCTCGCTCGCTCTTGTGTGAATTGTCGTCGCCTTCCGAAAACCTCAACGTTTTGTAAATCTGTTTTCCTGTTCCGGGTCTAGCCACTGCTCCGTCTTAGCAGTGCCTGATGTCCCGCTGCGTTTCGCGATAGTCTGTTTATTTTTCTTTCGGGCTCACCGATTTCGGCATGAACTTAACTGTCTGTCCTGTGCGGAAACGTTATTGCATTTGATTTTAAAAACCCAGTTCCCGGCCCTTTTTGCCAGGGGTTTACCCTTCTGTTGCTCCGGTACACAGCGCCATTTTGGAGGAAAATGCACAACGATGTTATTCTTTGGTTGATTCGGGTGACTTTTTGTGAACCCTACACCAGATGCTGACACTTGAGTCTTTGTTCTTTCATGCGAAGCTTGGCTTTAGACTATTCGAGGGCGTGGTTCCGGTAAGCTGGTCCCGTCCGACAGGGTTATTGGACGCAACAGTCAAGAAGCCCGAACCCGAAAGTTGACAAATCTCCTCAGATTTACTTCCGTGTACTTCGGTTGTACTCTTTGTGTTCATAACATCCGCCAAACACCGTCGTTTGGAACGCACTGTCTTCCAGCGAACTCTAGCAAGGCTGTCGTCGATGAATTTCAGTCATTCAACCGTTTCGTTGTCTATATTTGTTTCTGACTTCTCTCCTGAGATCGAGTCCAGTAGCTAATCTGACTGCGATGTGTTGGCGTACGCTGGATGATATTTGTCGCATGCGTCCTTCAAGATACCTCCTCTATAGTTCGGCGAAGAAATTTTGGCTATTTTCTGTAGAGTTTCGGCCCTATTCAAGACCTCTACTCCTAGAGGGTGAGATGACTCAGTGGTTGGAACGCGAATTTACTGACCGGAAGGTTCGTGGTTCGAATCCGACCTCTGTCTCTCGACTTCCCCTACCTGGGCTTGGGCAACTTGACGGTATCCCAGCCCTCGTGCTTCCTTCGTGTGACGTGGCAGCTAGGCACCAAAAGAGTTTTACAGCTGAAGGATTGTGTCACCTCTATTTCGAGGTGCACCTGTCCATCCTGTCTAAGCCACCCACCTTTCCCCTAAACAAAGCACGAGGGGATGTGGTTACCAAATTAAGCAAATAGACGACATTGTTCTTGGTGTATCTGTTTGTTCTTCTTTTTGCTTGCACCGGTGATAGAAAATTTAAAAGTACACCTTAGCTAATCCGAAACCCGCGTTTCTGAGTTGCAAAAAGTGTGCGCTTGAAACGTTCGAGCGAGCCGAAGTACATCGGATCGTTTTCGAATTAAGCCATTCTTGCACAACAGGTTGACTGATAACGTTCCCGAGCTTGCAATTTCTTGTTCGTGCGCTTCGTATACCTTTTAGTTGACTTCCTCAAAGAATCCTCTCCGCAAAACCGTGTTTGTGTGTTTGATGGGGGGAGGGAATGCGGAAACCAGCCAAAGGGATGACTTCGCAATGAAGCCTATCACCTCGTTCAGTGATAACAACTAGCACCTTCGAAGTGTGGCTACCTTCTTCGTTTTACAAGCTCACCGGCGAACAAAATGTGGTAGCTAGATCCACTCTACAACATGTACACGGTTTGCCACCAATGGTGATGTATGCTCGTTCGAATGGGTCAGGTGTTCTACTCATGTTCTTTTCAGACTACCGACTATGTGGAGCGAAACTTGGTAAACCCTAGTCTAAGTAAAACCTAAGGTTAATAGGACTGCGCTTATCTGATGAGCTTCAAGGAAGGCAAAACCAGTCGTGACCAGAGTTTCCAACAACGTAATCAGTAGTATCTTCTCGCTTGTAAATCCTACTTTTTCTAGTCTCAGGTCAGGTTCATTTGTTTATCCAGCTTGTACATCTTCCTATTCGCATCAAATTGATCTGATGATTTCGCAAATAACCTGTTCAACTAATCCCGAAAAGCGGGCGACTTTGTTCTCACCTGATTTACGACTGAGACAGGCACAATAGCCGTGGGAAACCATGGTCTCACTGTGGGATCACCCGTAGATTAGCTAATGCCGGACATCCCGCAACCGCAGACAACCAACCGAAAGTTGTCCAGCATCTTTCCGATGACCATGGCGCCGCCTGACTGGGAAGCCCTGACCGGCAGGTTCAACATAACCAGGACAGTTGCTTGGTCCAGGTGTCTGGGCGAGATGACCCAAGTGGTTAGAGCGCAAATTTACCGACCGGAAGGTCCGTGGTTCGAACCCGACCTCCGCCTCTCAACTTCCCCTGTCCGGGGTTGGGTAACCTGGCAGTATCTCGGCCCTCGTGCCTCTTTCGTGTGGCATGGCAGCTAGGGACTAGGAAGGGTGCTACAGCTGAACGCTGTCTGTCTGTCTGTCCAGGCGTCTGTTATACCAACCACATCGTGCAATCGGGAGCACGCCCGCCCGTTCAGACCACGCTGGTCTTGTATTCCTGATGTTCGGGGTTTAATTCCCGACACAACCAAGGATAGGCGCAGTTGATCCCAACTCTAATGTTTGAACCCACCATGAGGATGGAAAAATTGTTCAAATGTGTAAATGTGAATTCCGCCTATCCAGCAACCACCTACGAATAACTGGTGCTCTGATCATCACATACCCTGGTCCGTTGAGCGATTAGAATAGGCCAACGCGTGAAAATCAGTCGAGTCCACAAAACCCTGTTTTTTCGCATAAAGCATCACTCATAAGGTTGGTTGCTAATCTCTCATGAACCAGAGAGTCAATTAGATCTCGTTAGCGTCATTGGGTGTGTTTCGAGGACTTTTGCCCTGATAGGTTTGATGGGGCTCATGTTTGGAGATGAAGTTCCAACATAATGACTAAATTAGTCGGTCACAACTCATCGTCATCATGGACAGCATGATACTAGTGTTCAATACTAACGCTTCACTGCCGTAAAACCATGATTTAGTTGAAAGCCTTATTGTAAAGAAAAGAGTAAAGGTGGACGGGGAAGGGACTTAGTGCTAGCTTACCACAATCATTCCGAGGCGCCTCCAGACATTCACTCAGGCGATCTGGATAGAAACTGACAACAAGAACGCCACTGACATCGGTTGGCAGCCCTTTCTTGCAGCGTTTCCAATCAGGCGCAGTGGGGATCACGCGGTCCCCATCCTGGAAGGCGAGTAGCACCGACAGCACTCAGACGTTTCGTAATCTCTTTTATACCCCCATGCTAGATCGTAGGTTGGCCACCTCTCTGCCTTCGCCACTCTGAGTTGTGCATGGAAAACAGCACTCTCTTCGGCACGCGCAATACACGGCCTGACGAACGCAGTTTCTGGTCCTGGACACATTCTTCAATGGAAGTACCCGTTACACAACCGAAAACGCACTTTCCAACTGCCTAGTTATGGATTCGCCGACACCAACACACACGAGCTATGGTTCTGAGACAACGATTGTCGAACACCTGAAGACGTCTCAGTTCGGCTGCTTCAATAGGCCAAGTCTCACAGCCATGCAACAAAACAGCCCGTACTGTAGCTTGATACACACGTCCGTTGAGAATCAGGGATAAACCACTCTGACGCCATGGGTGTCTCGGGTCGCGTATCGACCCAAGGCTTGGAAATTCGTGCATTGACCTCATCTGTCATCTGGGTTCAGTGACTGCATGTCCAGGAGCATGACCTTACACGTGTTTGCCCACGAATAGATGGTAAAATTTGTTGATGTGAATTGCACACACCTCGACCAGGACAGCTGTCGGTTTTCGGCGAACTCGGAACCTCGGTCTAAATGTCCGGCTGCTCATCCATCATTGTGCTGTTCTAGTTCACGCGGTTACCGGGCACGAATTTCAAATTCACCTCCTTGCTGATGTTGTGTTTTTCTGACGCGGTTTTCCCAGGTGTAGTCTCCCGTATAAATGAGGGAATCTGTTCTTGAAAAAGCAGACTGGTTTCACAATTGTTGGTGATACCATATTCTCTTGGATTCGATTGAAATGCTCTGGTCAGTGTTATTCCACTGGTTGTCGCATCATCGAGTTCGATTTCTAATTCAATTTGTTCTCAGTTCCTGATGGAGGTTGTCAGTTTCACACTATGCCTACTATTGTTTGAAAATAAGTAGTACATCGTGCCATCATAGTATTGACTTGGTCGGATCTCGCAAAGTCTTAGTCACACCTGACCGTTCTTCCTTGTCAGCGTCTTTGTGATTGGTCACGGACCGAAAGCTCCACTTGCGATTCGGAATCTGACCACATATTTGAACCCAGTGTTTATGATGCAAACTTTCTGACCAGAAAGTCCATTAATTCGAACACAGCCTCTACATCTTGACTTTTTTGGGCCTTGACTGATCTTGGGTAACCCGACAGTATCTCAGCCGTTGTGCTTCCTTCGGGTAGTGTGGTAGCTAGGCCCAAGTGGTTAGAGCGCGAATTTACTGACCGAGAGGTCCGTGGTTCGAACCCTACCTCTGCCTTTCGACTTCCCCTGTCTAGGCTTGGGCAACCTGGCAGTATCCCAGCCCTCGTACTTTGAGTGGCATGGCAGTTAGGCACCGAAAGAATGCTACAGCTGGACAATTTTAGGCACCCAACGGGTGTTATTGTTGAATGGTTATTTTGTTATTTGTTGGTCCGATGAAATGACGAGTTGTCCTCATCGAAGTCCAGGGTTCAGAGCGTTTGTTTTGATCGATTCGATGTTGTAGTGACGGTTATGTACTACTGACGCAAATTGTGAGTAGCACTGCGCGTAAACAAATGGCATCACCTCATTCGTTGGACATTTCTCTCATATTTGCCATAAATTCATTGGAAAATCGAAGCCCGGGTAACTGTCAGATACTTCGATCGAAGAGTTACTTATCTCGCTACAAAGGAATCTAACTGTCTAATTGAATTCAATTAGTTGTCTACAAACCGTGTACCATAGGCACACTGGTTCAAGCTGCTACATTTTCGATTACCAGAAAGTGGGAGATTCCGTGGGATGTGGCCAATCCTTGGAGTTGATGGCGTGTTTAGTTGGTTCGAGAACTGGGTAGTACTGAAGGCGATAGCTTTGATGCGCGATTAGACCATTTCTGCCAGTCTCTTAAGCCTTTGAGTCGCGGGGCTAACCGTCCACCAAAGTTGTGATTGCTCAACAGCTGGTTTCACATCGTACCACTCCAAAAATGTTGATATTTGTTCACAACAAAATTACGCTGTCATGGCTCTTTGAAACCATCGGTTATATTCTGACCTCGCCGTAAGTGCTTATAGTGCTTGCATATTCTACGAGGTTACATGGTTTGCCGAAGAGAGTGCTGTTTTTCATGCACAACTCAGAGTGGCGGAGGCAGAGAGGGGGCCAACCCTTGACTTGGCAGAGGAGTATGGAGGAGATCACGAAACGCTTGGGTGCTGTCGGTACTACTCGCCTTCCAGGACGGGGACCGCGTGATCCTCACTGTGCCTGGTAGGAGACAATACAAGATATGGCTGCCAACCGATGTCAGTGGCGTTCTTGTTGTCAGTTTCTATCCCGATCGCCTGAGTGAATGTCTGGAGGTGTAGGCACCTCGGCATGGTTGTGTTAAGCTAGTACTCAGTCCCTTCCCCGTCCACCTTTACTCTTTTCTTTACAATATGGCTTTCAACTGAATCATGGTTGTACGGCAGTGGAGCATCGGTGTTGAACACTGATGTCATGCTGTCGATGACGATGATGATGGGATAGCGGTCATTCGATAGCAAGCAGGGCCGTCTGACGTTTTCAGAAGGATGGTTTTAAAAAATAAAGCAGTGAAGCATTAGCGTTGAACACTGATGTCATGCTATCGACGATGACTATGCGTTGAAATGGAGGGAGACTCGGTGTGCCTCAAGATGCAATATATATATAGGTGAACGCAGTTCTCTCCACTAGAGATTTCGTCCTGTAAGTGACGACATTATGTATCGGAAAGCACTGCACAGCCACTTCGTCGTTATTAAGAATCATCAGCGGTGCGCATCTCCGAAAAACTCCAGGGCATCTGGAACCCACAACATCCTGGCTAGTAGTTTGAACACCTAGCCGTTCGGCCAC